GGTGCTGGCTGCCAGCAGGAGAATGCACTGGATCCATCAGGGCCAAAGGTTTACTAACACTTCAGGCAACCATCATGCAGGGGGCTCATTCCCTAAGTGGGCTCCCAACATGCATACTGTCGGGCAGATACCGAATCAGCGGTCATGTGTGACCTGCAGTGCCCCACGTGGCGGCAAGGCCTCCAAATGTGTGTCAGACCTGGGTCAGGTGGTAAATTACAAGTCAGAACTTCCTGCCCAGCTTCAAGCCGAAAGTGATGGGATGAGGTGGTGCCAGATGATCTGGAGGGCAACTTTCTCCTGATGGACGCATTGGTCCGCCGCTCAAGAGTTGCGGCTGCGGCAGAGCAGGGTGGTTTGATACTGTACTCTATGGTATTTCCCCAGATAGCTGAAAGCTATCGGGGTTCTAACAACTTCTAACGAGGAAAGTTATTTGCGAGAATGACGGGCAATTTGGGGTGCTGGTGCAGGTGGGTTATGGGCTGTTTGGGCTGCTGTTTGAGGTACTGGAACTGGTGCAGGCGCATTTTTGCGAGATTTAACGCTGGGTGCTCTGCGGTGCTGTTTGGGGGTGCTGTTTGGGGTAGCGGCGTGCGAACGCATTTTTGCGAGATTGACGGACGGGTTCTCCTTGGGGGGTGCTGTTAGAGGTGCTGGTGTGCAATCATTGGCATTTTTCCGCTATCTGGGGTCTATGCTGGTGTATTTTTTTGACTGCCCTGCTTTGAGGGGCAGACAAATTAGAAGAAACGACCAGTGTGTGTTTCCTTATTAGATTCGATCTGTATTCTAAAGCACACTTCCTTGAAAAGGAAGTCCTTCCTGTTTAAATCCTAAATCAAATTGAGAGTTATAGTCAAACTAAATGGAAGGGAACGCTCTCGGCTTCAATTCTGAAGTCTGCCTTGGAAAGGAATTCGGGCGTAATATCTTACCCAAGCTCATAAGCCTATTCAATCAATTAAGCGGAAAGATGTCCTAATTAGAATCTATTTCACCGAATGTCCAATTGATTTCTAGTGAAAGCCTACTTAAACGGAAGACACTGAAGCTGTATAATTAAAATATTGTAAACCGATAGAACTGAAAGTGTACTTGCCCTGGATTTCTATTGGCTTTTCGCTCCTATGAAGAGGCAGGGAAATATCTAGAAGACGGGGGTGAGGGCGGATGCTTGCAGTGAATGGTATTCTCCCCAGAACCCAAGAAAATAACAGAAACAAAGAAGAAGACAAAACAAACAGCGAACACCAAAAAACAACAAACACGAGAAAACCCAAACCAGGGGGGTACCGTGTATGTGTATATGTATATAAATATTCATATCTATAGACATAATATATATATATATATATATATTCCAGCTTGGAATTGCAGTAGCAACCTGAAGCACTTGCGGACCAAAGCTGATTCCACGGGTCCTTTCTAGATGTCCTTACTGCGAGTCACGTGAGGCGAATCCCTTCGAATCTGTTTGTTCCCTTCTCAGGTTGAAGGAATTGGCGTTTTCTTGTTCGGTGCCAAAGACCCCTTGGGTTGGTCTGGGGAGTGCTGCAAAGGTCAATGTTTGTTCCCTGGAAATTGATGGAGTGCAACTGCCTGTGGTTAACAGCCAATTCCATTTGCGAAAGAATGGCCGGAACTCGTCCCTTAATATTTGTGGGTGTGTGTTTCATGGACAATTGAGGCTTTCCAATCTCTGGCACACTTAGTAAAGCTATTGGTGGAACGGACGCAATAGCATGTTCCCCGTGGAAACTTGGTTGGTTGACAAACCATCAATGTGTTTTCCACATGTTTTCTTCCAGTGTTGATCGCAAGGCTTGTTGAAGTGTTGGCTATTTGGTTCGACCCTCAAGATCTCAACATTTTCGAGCGCACCGATTTTTTCTTAGGACTGCTTTTCAAGGGTCGACCTGCCAGGCAACTTCCGGCAAGACTCTGGAGGTCATAGTCAAAGATATCTCCGTGGACAAGGGCAGCCACTTGACTGCCATGGTGCCGCCGGGTTCGCTGCAAAAAATGGCCGACCCGCAACAAAGGTTCCGTTTCCTGGTAGGGTCTTGGGGCTGGGCTGGGCAAAGCTTCCGCATTTGCGGAACCAGCGGAGCTAATGGGCAACTGACAGCCTTGCCATTCATTTGGACGACTTGGGTAGGGAGTGGTGGGCATGTGGGTCCAATTGTCATGCGGTGGGTCATATGGTTCCTGCAGGAGATGTCTGTCTTTTTGTTTTTTCGGCCGATTCATTGGGTGGGTGACGTTTCGATTGAACACATGAAAGATCTCTGGTCCATTGACCTCGGTGTTTTGCATTGCCAATTGAAGCTCCTGTTTGGGTCCCCACCAAGTGGTTTCTGAGCACCACTGCGAGGTGTCAAGATTGTGTTCGCCGAGAATGAGAAGATCTGGAAGACAATCCCGATCAGCCTTATTACCAGCAAGGCCCGATGCCCGATGTTCAGACACGTTGCAAGCAGGGGCAACATCGGCATGTTCAGTGAGCCATGCTTTTGACCGCTATGGCAACAGAGATCCTGCAATAGGAAGACTTGTTTACACGTGCGCTGAGATCTTGAATCCTTGGTGCCAAAGTATTTGACTCCTCGGTTTGCAACACAGACAGCCCGGTTATGATGTGATGCTCTTCAGCCTCCATAGCTTCTTTAACAGGTCATGCAGCACAAGCATTCCATGGCCCTAAGCATGTCAAGGTCTGTGAGTCATCATTTACTGGGCCCCCTTGCCTGTCAGCCCCTATGCCAGTGCGTGGGGTTTGCATCAGCTTTTGAAATAAGGTAGTCTAAGAGCAAAGACTCGCCCTCTTGCAAGATGCTTCATGCCTGATCATTTTTAGTTTGTGCCGCGTTTTCATGTATGCATCCCTCCAAAGCACTTCACGTGTCAAGGGCCCTGGGTTTTCATCCAGACTTTGAGATCTCCGTTGGATAGTTGATCACTGAACAGGGGTGGCTCCGAGCTTCGGTACAAGGTTATTTGTAGATCGGTTTGTTATCTTTGTTTTGTCAAAGCAGGCCTGTATTTTTTGCTGGCCTTGCAACCCTGTTGAAATCCATTGGGCGCCCAAAACAATGGTGGTTCTTTAACTTTTGGTTTTCCTTTGAACCCACCCCAAAAAGCAAAAAGCACGCACCCAGACCGGAGCCTTTTCAACGATCCGAGGACAACCCCCTGCTGGGCCAGTGGGGTGAGCGCGAGCGCAGCCGCTCCCCAGCGCGCTGAGAGCGCGGAAGTTCCAGGTTCTGCGAGCCTCACCGAGATCACAGAGGTACGAAAGCAGACCGCAGACCTGTTGCTCAAGTCATGTTGCCAAAACTGAAGTGGTAGAAAATGAGGGGTATAGCACAATCATAATATGGAAACGGGCGAGATCGCCCTCCCACTCTTATGGAATCCGGACACGTCGAGATATGCTGATCTCCATGTTTGCTCGCAGTCTAGCTGGAGGGGACTTGGCGTGAGTGAGTTGCATCGGAGTCAAAGACATGGGCGCAGGAGGCAGGAAAAAGGGCCATGCCCGTGACCGTGACAGTCCAAATGTTGGCAGGGGAGACGGCTTCTTATGATATACCTTCTACCTGGCCATGAATTTTGATCAAAATGGTTGGCGGGCACGGCGGGCACAAATTACCATGATGTCCACCCCGTACAAATGTTCACTCCCAAATATACAAATGCTTGTAAGCAAGGCGTGTTTTTGTTGACGGATGAGAGTTCTTCCCTTGACCCAGTGTGTGTGTTTGTGTGCAGCCGTTTGCTCGGTTGCCCATCGCTTTTTTGGTCAGCAGGGCATTAAACTTCATTGTTATCCCAGTCAAACCTGCGATGCAATTGTGGTGTAGCACCTGCCCGGATGCGTTGACTGGCATCAAAAGGAGAAACGAGCCATGTTGTCGAATAGCGCTAGTCAGGAGGAACGCGCAAAGAAAGCGCAGGGGAAGACCGCTCCCCGGAGACTGCATCACTTAGTCTATGATATGCAAAATGCGGGATCCCCGATCCGCAATCCGTAGCGGGACGCTGCACCAGTACCCTTTGGCAGCTTGAATAATTGAAGGATTGATCTTGAACTCAGATTGAGTTGGAGAATCGTGTCGGGACGATATGCTTAAAACAGTTGCACGTTTCCGTATTGCGAATGGTCAAAGGTTGCACGCCCCTTCAAAACAGGAATTACCTTACGGTATTTACTCAACGGAAGCCATATATCCAACTAGATATATCATTCTTGTTCACTCTCCCTGAATGGGTCCCAGAAGGTCTGGAACCACACATCTTTGACACCGAGCCCCAATACACATTGATTTGGCGTGCATTTGCTTTTGAGCATGGGCAGTCATTGCATCACCTTTCGTTGACACTCAGAACAATGTGTGGGCTGCGTCCAACGATACTGAGGGTCAACACGCTAGCCATCTTGCAGCGTAGCATGCTGTGCGTCAGTCATCCATTGTGTGCGTACCCGTTCATGTTGAGTCCTGCAGTGGTTTTGTTTTTGTTAGCATTTGAGAACACCGCCTGACCACGCGGCTGCAGCTGTTTCGGTTTAGATTCCAAGATCCCAAGTGGAGTCAGGCACGTTGGACGCGTGATTGAGGTTGAACACTTAATCTGACTGGGTGTGCAGGTAATTGTTTTTGTTTGCAGACTACTGGCAAACAAGATAGATGAGCTGTTGTGGAAATCCATCCAGTGACATCACGTTGGTGTGATGAGAAACAGATGTTAGGTTCTTCAGGCAGCGCGGAGTGAGAACATTTGATCACTCCATTCAGTTTGCTTATCCTCTATGCAAGCCTGCAATTTTTCGTATAGCGAGCTCGATAGCTAGTCGGGGAAGTCAAAGACCATACACGCGTCCGTGCACGACTGGACTGAACCAACTCCTTTCGGTTATTGAACAAGGCCACGGTGGCCAGGGTCCTTTTGGAGCACATTTTGCCCACCCCCGCCGCCTTACTCGAACTGCAGGCGCAATGGCTGCCAAGGTTCAGGCACGGAGCTGAGGGCCCCGTATCGAGCGGAATGCAGGATGGCTGGAACTTCTCCCCTTTCGGCATCGTTCCATCCACACACAGAGCCTGACTGGAGGTTCCTGGAAGACAATTGTCCTTTTGCGACCTTGTGATTAATTGGTCACCAGCAAGTTTGGTTTTCTCCACTTCAAGGCTAGGCCCGACAGGTAGCTGGAATCAGTGGGTAATCCAACTTTTGATCGAGAGATCCACAGTTATTCCATGCGTTCGGGTCTTGCGTTCGGTGTCAGTGTCCATTCCCGAAGAAAGAGGCAGATCCAATGCTTCAGACTTTTCCCTTTGCGGATATTTGTGTACCTTGCACTGTATTGCCAGTGTCGGATACGCAGAGTTGGACCGCCCTGTACGCAAGGCAAGACGGTGGAGGCTGGCAGCACTTCTGGCAGCAGTTGTGGCTGCTACGGCCCCGCTGGGCTATGCCGTTGCAGGCTCGGATCCGTTTGCTGAGGCAGCCCCACAGACCAGGCAACGCCGCCATTCAGGGTGTGATAAGGGGGCCCCAACGGCGAGTTTCTTTTTAATTTCGAGAAAGAAACCTGAAAAAGTAGCAAAACAAAAAACCGTTCCAGACGCGCTTTCCCCGCTTCAAAGTGGCCAGGCCGCCCCTCTTCGAAGGCGGGATTCTTTCGGTGGACTGGGCTGGAGCACGTGGCGTGCAACACCGAATGCGGGGAGGCGGAAATGATACACCATGTTCTAAAATAACCTTCCAATTCAATCAGGTGTAGGGAGCTGCCCTAATTGGGGCCGTAGTAGCAAAATCTGACACATTGACAGGCGGTGGTAGGGGGTGAAACTTACGTATGCCATCAGCTGCCTTGCCAGGAGGATGCCCTACATATTGCAACTGAACCACCCACGTCCAACCACAAAACTCTCAAAATTTGCAGCAAACCACGGTGTGTTTGTTTCCTACTTTGCAACATATAGCTTGGGATCCAAGCAGTGCAGCTGTTGGCTTTGACATGGGCCAAGCAAGGCTTGTGCTCGCCCCAGATTTCTTTTCACCTTGGTTCAAAACAAGCCCAGGTCGTGTCCCCAGCAACCCCCGGCATCCCCATACCAGTCCAAGATAGATTCTGGAAAGGGCCTGGACCCTCTCGGAAATTCGATGTCCAGCTTTGAGGGCGTGCCCCGTGATTCAGAGCCGTGTCTGGTAGAGACCCCAGAAACCGATCTTGGAACTAGCGAGCGGGAGGGTTCTTTGGCGGATTGAAATCGACCCAGACAGTGTTCAACAAAGGCAAAGGTTTTTGCTCTCTTGATATACTGGTTTGTACCCTTTTCCGCACTCATTGCGTTGTTCCCTTTGTTTGGATGGTTCAAGGGAACCAAAAGGAAACCACACTTTGAGGGGATTTCGCGGGCGTAGCTTTTTGTTTCCTTGTGTAGGCGCCCACGTAGGCAAGATTAGGCAAGTCTGGAATGATACATCCAATTATAGGGGCTGTGCATGTGTTTGAAGCTTTCGCAGTGTGACAGGGAGAGTGGCTACATGGTTCACAGTGGCTGTGAGATTTGCATCGCCGTGTGTTAGCACAAGATCCTGTGGCTCACAAGGTCAGGCCTGGATTAAACAAAACAACTGAACGCCTCCATCCGCGTAGGCACTCGCGTAGGCTCCTGGCGCATTTCTTCGTGAAATTGTCCCTTTCCGTGCGGGCCACTGCCTCTGCTCATGTTAAGCTTCCCGTTTTGCCTGCGACGTTTCAGCCTGCAGCTGCCAAATGGCGCACTTCGAGTACTGCACTTGTACTGACAAGTTGCAATTTTGGAGTTGGAGCTGCTAAAGTGCATGTCGCGCATCACAGTTACATAACTCACAAGCCGCATGCGGGCAATGAATGATTCGGCAGAGTTACAAAGCTCGCAGTGGCAAAGCAGCGGGCAAGCGGCTTGTGTAGGCATCCGTGGAGGCAAGCATGACGCAAATATGCGCGCGCAGGCACCTCTTGCAGTCGCGGAGGCTTTGCGCAGGTGCTCGTGTAGGCGTGTGAGCAGTGTATAGGCTTCGAGCACCCAAAAAAGACTGACATATCGAAGCGAATCCTGCTGCAGATACGGATTGTCTGAAATATGGGATATTGGGATAACGAACCGAAAGGGTTGTGGAGCCTTAACAAAAACTAGGCCACCAGCATGGCCCACATTTGACCTTTTGCGTGCATATCATCAAAGAGGCCCCCATGAAAAAGACAGATCAATATTGGTGTGTGTGTGTGTTTTATGAAGGTACTATTTTCAGGTTTTGACAGGAAGCCAAAAGGAAGGCCTCCAGTTTTGGTTCTATTTTCGGCTCGCATCCCCATAGCTCCAACCGGCTTGGGTCCGGATCGCCAGGCCCGAAGCCCTACTGCCACGGCTGCCATGCCAGAGGCATGGGGGGGGTCTGGTTTGAGGAAGTAAAAATTCTGGGGGTTGAACAACCAAGAGGAAATTTGAGCGTCCGCTCATTTTGAGCCAGTGGGTGTGTGGTGGTGTGTGGGTGTGTGAATGTGTGGGTAGAGGGGGTCGACCCATTCTCAGCATCAGAAGTCGTAGGCGTCCAGTGCAATGGTTTCAGGATCAAATCTCCTATTGCGTTTCAGAACAGCATGTCAAACACTCCTCGCTGCCAGTTCAGCAATGGCCTTGCGCTCTTTGGTTTCACTACGATGTCGCTGCCGTGTGATTCTAAATGCGTGCCGCCCAGATGTCTACTGCACCACGCCCAGCGTAAAGTGTAAAGCCCGCAGCCGCTGGCCAATGCTGGGAGTGGTTTAAAAGGGGACCCAAATAGCACTTCTTCTTCTGCTTCTTTTTTTCTGCGGGGGGTTCCACATTTTGTGTTGGCTGTGTTTTTCCAGACCTCGGAAGTCAGGCGACGCTGGACTGGGTCAGCTGCCTCTTCCAGGCGCGTGGGACCGCCACTGAGACCTTTTGTGAGTTCGAAGTGCATATGGGCGGCCGATGTGTTTTTTTTTTCGTTTTTAGGGGCCCCCTGTTGGCTTTGAAGAGAAGCCAAAAGGAAGCCAACCATGTTGGATTTTCCTCAATTTGTCAGACTTATTTTTGTATGGTTCTAAAGGGCAGCCAAAAGAATATGGGCATGTCTCAAAATAGAGCACCTCAACTGGTTGGTTTCCTGTTGGTTTCCCTTTCCACCAACCAACAAAAGGTGCCCTCAAAATAGGGGCTCCTTCGTTTGAGACAGACCCATTCATATAAATATGACAAAAACACAATTCTGATTCAGGGGAAGATTGCCACCCGCAGTGGTCCTTACTGGGCCTTCAAACTCACTAATGGTCACTATCAGTTCCTATAGCTCCCCTTGCCGTAAAACATGTTCCTGACCGGCAAAGTGAGATTTCCTTCCTGGGCTGCTCGCAGCGGAGTTGCGCCATCCACTTTTGCCCAACTCCACATTTCAGGACCTGCCGCGCCCTGACTTGCATGAAGAGTGATTTCTTTGTTTGTTTTGTCGGCTTGAGCGCAGCTTTACCTCTTGAAGTTGCAAATGTATGCTGTATACAGATGTTGTTTCTTACTCCAGAAAGGCAACTCGCGAAGAGTAACAACAACTCTACAATACCCCCCACCCCCAAGAAAGTCCAGAAGGTTTTTTGACCCAGAAAAACACTTTCTCGGAACAATCTGGAAGGTTTACTTTTGTATCGGGCAATACTACTTTTGAATTGGACATGCCAATTTCGGAGAGATTCCATGAGTTCCAAACCAATGGAGCCGCGAAGCACGTCTGCCAGCCCCGTTCGCGTTGTTGGACGAAGAAACGTGTTCAGCTTTTGAAAGATGACGAATGCCTCCCCACTAACCAGCACAATTTAAGTTTTGTCTTCGAATTGAGCATCTTTTGCCAACACGATGGGTTGACCGTGTTCCTGGCAAGCAACGGTTTTCATGACCCGTACCCTCGGAGGCGTCAAATCCATTCGTTTGCAGGATGGCAGGCCCAAGCAGCGAGTGGCACTCCAGGAGGCCGCGAGGCCGGGTTCGAACGCGTCCGAACCCGCTGGGTCAACGTTTGGGATCGGAGACATCTTTGTCCCTGGCTAAAGTGAAAGAAATAACATGAAGAGACCTTTTGGGTTGAACAAAGAAAGGATGATGATAATCGTGAGGATAATTGTGATAGTCATGCTAACTATCATCGCAGCATCCTCTGCAAATGAATAGAATGAAAATAAGAAAGAGATCATCCATCATGATGATGAAGGGTGATGATGACGCCAGATGATGATAAGGATGATGACAGCCATCATCGTAGCATCCTCTGCATCACCAATGCTGCCCCACAATGGTAAGGATGAGGTTTGTCATGATGACTATCATCGTAGCATCCTCTGCATTACCAATGCTGCCTCTCGAAGGGTGATGATGACGCCAGATGATGATGACGGTGATGATAGCCATCATCGTAGCATCCTCTGCATTACCAATGCTGCCCCATACGAGATGATGATGATCGTGAAGATCAGAAATATCCATCATGATGGTGAAGGGTGATGATGACGCCAGATGATGATAAGGATGATGACGGTGATGATAGCCATCATTGTAGCATCCTCTGCATTACCAATGCTGCCTCATAAGAGATGATGATGATGATGATGATGATGATGATGATGATGATGATGATGATGATGATGATGATGATGATGATCATGATGATGATCATGATGATGATGATGATGATGATGATGATGATGACGATGATGATGATCGTCAGGATCATGATGATAAGCATGAGGTCTGTCATGATAACTATGATCGTAGCATCCTTTGCGTTACCAATGGTGCCTAACGCCACAATTGAAATGCACAATAAGAAATATCATTTGTGCCTCCTGCCGCAGGCAGCGCAATCAGCGCAAAGAACACAAGTTGAGTAAAATGGCTGACTAAACCAAAATGGGAATTTGGGCATTCGCAGACAACTGTAGGTAACCAAGGGAACTGCCTTAAGAGCATCGTAGAAATCCAAGAGCTGGACAAGAAGGGTGATGTTTTTTGGCGCGGTGGTTTCTTGGCTCCCACCGGGTTTCTAGAAAGCTGGGTTCTGTTTGGCTTCTTTGCCTTTTAGCTTCTTGGTTTATCGGCTTCTTGATTTGTTTATTTGCTTCTGTCACTTCTGGCTTTGTGGCTTCTTGGCTCAGTTTTTGGCAGTGTAACTGAGTACCATATATTGAGGTTTCTTAGCCTTGTAGCCTCTTTGCTTCTTGGACGTTGTAGCTTATTCGTTTGCTTTGCTTTTCGAACTTGGCATCGTGCGTCCTTCGCTGCTGGGGCTTTGAAGTTTTTGGGCTTCTTGGCATCTTGAATTTTGCTGCAAGATTTCCAGCTTGAAGGTGTTGCTCTCAGCAACGTAAGTCATGATTCCACTCCAGTGGAGAAAAGCAACCGCTTCAAACCCTGGTGTAGTGCGTGTTCTCTCGAGTTTGGGTGCGAAGGCAGAATGCGGGCTAACAAAAACAGCAGGTCACATGCAACGACTTGAGGGAGGCGCATGCCACTTCCCAGTTGGAGACAGGCAAGGGGCTGCTCTTCAGCGTCAGTAAGGGCTTGGCTTTTGGGATGCTTCCAGGTTAGGCCAGGACATGGCCAGAAGCGCCTGGTTTGACCTTACCAGTTTGACACCGCCGGAACTTTTCCCTTCGCAGCGACAGGCTGCTCATGACCATCGGCCCCATTGTGAGCCTGCGGCCCAGGGCTCCACACCCGATTTTGTGATCGGATCCCGTGCTACACCTAAATGTGTCCAATTGTTGCGGACTGTGGATGGTGCTCCAAGGAAATCTGAAGGGGGCTTGCCTCGTGCCATGGACCAGCTTTTAGGAAACGCACACTCAAACGGACGTCCAATGCACCTGTAGCACTCGCATGTTTAGGTGAGGATGGTTCTTGTGTTTTGATCTTGGCATGTCATTGAGAAACATTTAGATACCTCAAAGGAGGCCTCTCCAACTATAGAAACATCTTAAGGTCACTATCAGAACTGCACACCCAGAAGCTCTCCAGCAAGCTTCCCCTAGTCTTCTTGCTTTCTCCTTTCTCAAGGCCACTGAGGCATTTGGCAGGTTGGAGTCCAGTCGGTATTGAAAGCAGGTTACAGCTTCGGGTAGTTGTTTTTTTTTGGGGCCAGCAGGTGCTATTTTACTCATTTGAAGGCATTGTGTTCGTTGTCTGGTCAAACGAATCCTGTTCTCTGGTGAATGTGAGGTTTGAGATATGTGGGACAGGGCAAAATGGATTTCTCCATGTTTATCAGTGAATGCATGCAGTGCTAGTTCTCTTGGACCCCCATTGCCATACTTGTCCCATGGCAGTCCCACACTGGTCCATATTCAGTTCCATGACCGCGCGCGTCCGGTTTATTTTTTTGCTTTGCCATGTAAAACTCAGGAGTTCCCGGTTGTCTTTTGCGAAGTCTGAACATTTTAGGAAAGCAATGACACTGCGAAAGGGAACTGGACTCTGCTTGGGAGTTTAGAGGGGATTAGCCCATGGTTTGCACCGGAAACAACATGATTGGCTTTGGATGACAGCTGGATTGGGGCAAGGTTCTTGAAAGGGGCATGGGTCAAACAATCAAGGGCCCGTTGCACTCACTGTATATACTAATTATTGGACCTGACTAGGGGTTCTCGGGAGAATAACTTTCCTCCAAGACGGCCCTTTTGGGACAGGTGGGAGTGTACCTTTAAACACACGCACATACACAGACATGTGGCCATGTGTCAAGATAGGGGACTCCCCAAAATGTGAAATTTCCCCTGTTTTCGCCTCTAATTCGTCATGTTCATCCCAAAAACCACCCCCACGTATTTCCACGGCTTCGGGTTTTCGAGGGCCGATTCGATGCAAGGCATGGCCGGTGACTACGATGGCCTCAGCAGCATTGCGGATGCCATCGATGTGCTCGATGCCCAGGAGCCTGGGGAGCCCAACCCCGACTGGGAGATTTCCAAACACATCCCGAAACCAGCGGGACTGGCGCGAGTGTTTCCCGTTATTTTTCGTGGTTTGTTTTAATTTGTTGGGCAACTACGACCTTTATCCTGCTGGATGTGTTTTTTGTTTTCTCTTCTTTCCTGCTGGATGTGTTTTTTGTTTTCTCTTCAGCAAACACGACCACCCCTTTTGGTTGCGAATGTCAGTTCTTGTCCGAGAGGTCTTGGTCGTCGCGCTGGGTTCCGATGGATCAGGAGCTGATCCGCGAAGGCCAGGCAGCAGAAGCCCCAGAGAGAACGTCGGCTTCCTTTAGGCTTCGGGATCGGTGCGGAGTTCAAACGTATGCGCGAAGTGTATGAAACAATGGGAAGTGAATGAAAGGCTTGCATGAAGCAAATAGAACCTGGTGGAACCTGGTGGAACCAAATAGACGTTTGAGCTGTCAGAACTCGAATTTGCGCATCTGGAGGTAAATAGGGCCAGGGCTGTTGCGGCAACCGTTCGGTTCCATAATAATTTGGCGATGGACATGCGATACAGGGGCTGAATGAAATTTTGCCTCGACCAACCATCGTTCCGAGGCTTGTGGGGGCAGAGTTTTGGGGAATGAGGCTTGAATGCAACTTTTAGGTGCTGGGTTGCGGAGTTGGCCCTGAAGCCAGGTTTTTGGAATGGGGGCTCAACGCGTTTTTAAGGCTCAGGACAACGCACTTACACCTTGCAGAAACCAAGACTTGGACAGCTGCTGAACAAATCCTGCTGTGTTTCCAACGAGCTGATTCACACACGCCACGTCCAGTTTACGTAAGCCCCCGGCATGCTGAGAGATCTGAGAGGTTGTTTGAGGGTTTAGGCTGCAATATGTCTTGTAGGCATGTTGGTGGCATTGGCGTGTTGCCTTTTAATTGTGCTGTTTTGTGCTTGAGATCTTGATTAGGCGGAGGATATGCAAGCCATTTGTTTGATGCTGTTCGCTCATGTTTTATGTAGAGGAGACATGTGGTGCCTGGTATGGACTACGTGTTTGTCCGATTTGATTGATGCCAATTGGCAAATTGTCGCGCAACCAGAGATCTTCGGGAGTTCCTCTCGTGTAGTTCATGCTCGCGCTTCTTCCCTGGAACGATTGTTGCTCTTCTGTCAGACTGTGCGGCTCAACTCTATGAGGCATGGTTCTGAGTGTCAAAGATCACAGACTCTAAGGGCCCAAATACCCAGTGCGGATCACTTTGCCCCTTTTCCCTTTTGAGGTGGCGGCTTCTTAAGCCAGGCCCCAACACAGGTTGTTCTCCTTTGGTTTCCCACCCAACCAAAATGGTGTGCCGCGGCCATGGAGGATTAACAAGTTTCGTAGGTTTCATCCAGAACTGTTATCCTGTTTGGATAGGCTAAATATGAAACATAATATGAACATATAGTTGCAGTGGGCCAAGTTTCAGGTTTTCACATGTTTGTTTTTTAGCCAAGGTCCTAGTCCCAGACTGCCATTTTCAACTTTTGGGCAGGAAAGGTCAATCTGGGCGGGAAGCTGCAGGATTTTGGCCTTGGCTCTGAGGAGCAGTCTAGTTCTCGGTTTCGTTATACTCGCTGTGCATCTTGTCTGCACAAGTTGCAACAAACTCACCTGGCTAAAGAACGCTCACCCACGAGGATGGACCTTTGCCAAGGGGGTTCCTCATGTTTGTGTGCCTTCTATTTCATGGATCTCCAAACATTGAATGATGTCCCGATGTCCCTGTGGTTTCTCTTGAGCAAGTGTCTGAAAGGGTGCCATGTGCGTAGAGCTTTGCTGCCAGCCGGATGAGGCTGCAGCATCCTTGCAGCTGGACGACGACCTCATCCAGCTTCAGCTAGCGTTGGAGGATATGGGGGTCAAGTTTGCCGACCTGCCAGGATGCATCAAAGAGGCCTCATTCTTGACAGCAGCTACTTGTTGTGGCCCCAAATCTGGTTGGCAGATCATTTTGACGACAACTACCTTTTGGGCCGTTGATTAATCTCTTGGTTGACAAAAAGGAGTGTCCAAGCATTGCCAGCAGTCCTCCCCTCCTATCCTGCTTCCAGCTCTCCGTCGTAGGAGCTGTGCCTTAGGAAGCAGCCATGGAAGCAGTCACCTTGTTTTATTTGCTAACCTTTTGACAAGCGTTGGCCTTACATGCGTGCGGGGCTTATTTGGAATAGCTTCGTTGAGCAACCCGGAATTGGCGCTATTGCATCGCGGCGTTTCCGCGGTGTACGCCAACAATACACCAACATACCAATCCTGAGCACAGCGAATGCTTTGTACATGCTTCAAGAGAGCGGGCGGAAAGAGGGTCGGCGGCGCATGTCACTGTCAGAGGAGGATGGGTTGTAATACAGATCTAGATATGGGCTTGTGGCAACCAGGAAAAAAAGGCAGAGGCAACGGCTTCTGAGACAGTCTCGCCAAAGCTGATTGCGTAGAAGTGTTGATCACTCCTTGAACACCTTTGCCAGGAACAAACGGACATACTTGCGACATTGGCAGTCCCATCGTATCCTCCAAACTGTAGACTCGGAAGAATTGTCCGTCGCTCATATGTCAAAATAGGGGGCCGCAAAAAACATGATTTCGGGGTTCGTCTTGGTTTCCATGGTGAAAAGGGTACCTTTTGCCTCAAAAAACATGTGCTGCCACTCACCAGGATGGCTCGGAGAAAGTCATCGACCTCTTTAAGCAGGGGTGAAGGCGCAGATGTCTCGGCCCGGCGAAAAGGCCGTTCCAAAGGCCCAGGGCGGAGGTCTCTGTATAGATGTGATCTGACTTGTAAAGAACCCCGGGTGTTGGCTTCCTTTCACATGTTGATCTATGTACATGGGTAAGACAGCTTGTTGCAAGCAATTCAAATAACTTTGCTCACTCTCAATGGTTCGAAGTAGGATTCTTTTGTTAGACCGGATGACATGACAATGCCAATTTCCATTGCACTTGACTGTTGGGTCAATATCAGATGATCTTTGACCAAACTTGTTTTTGAACGGCCATGATGTGTAACTGTAGGCAGAGTGGCCATCAGTATTCTTCTCAGTCAGACTCGACCCAGTGGTCTTTGGTCTTCCATGGCTATTGAGCTACGCTCCTTGCCAGTACAAAGCTTCTTGGTGCATCGAGCGCCCCACACCAAGCCCGACATGTGAGCGGCAGAGGATGCTGCTGACAAGCACGATTGGACGTCGCGCAAACAAGCCCACGGCAGTAAGCCGCCAGTACATTGGGAGTTCGCATAAGGCGTCGTTTACAGTAAGCCGCCAGTACATTGGGAGTTCGCATAAGGCGTCGTTTACAAACCCTTTGAAGCAAATGATCCATGACGAGAATGAGTGTCAGCCATTATCAACCACATGCTGCAAACCATTGCAAAGCAATACTCACCCCCCAAATGACGACCAACTCACCGACCACAAAACGATAAGGATTGTGTTACAGTGTTTGTGTTAGTTTTAGCATGGCTGGTGTGCTGCCACAAGCTTGAGTCAAAAGCGCGACTGCTTAGAGCGCATGCAATTGTAATTTGACTGCTCCTGTGTAGTGAAAGGACAGCAACTAGCAACTCAGCTTTCCGGTTACCTTGTCTTCTTGCAGATTCGTTGCCCACAGTTGTCCTTCAATTGGTATTTCGCAACATGAATCATCAAAAACCGGGCGAAGCGATCCTTCTGTTGATGCTTTACAGAGACCAGCATTTGGGGGTTCCTAGATAAGAATTGTGGGCTTGCTTTCTGATCCGGCAGAAGCGTTGGAACATAATGGGGGATCAATTGCAAAGCCAAGGATAGCGTGATACCGCAAACTCAGTTTACACAAAGTGACACAGGTCGAATTCAAAGGCAAACCAACAGAAGGCTTTCTGGCTGCTGCAGTTTTAGCTGAAGTGAACCTGTTGCATGGCAATTTCCAGGATATTTGTTTGTCGAGAAATGTCAAACAATGTTGCTTGTGCTTTGCCCCCAACACAATGTGGATTGCCAGGTGGAGGATTTCTTTTGACAACACCACTGGTACTTTGCCCCACAGAAGCTTTCCAGGTTGTTTGAAGCGCCGTCTAACCGGATGTGGGCAAAAGGGTGTTGCGGGAACACCCAATCAAACTTATTTTCTACATATATGGCGCCAGCGGCGGACAGGAATCCGTGCACGTTGTATTTGTGGACCTTATATCGTGCGAAGCTTCCGAAGTCCTAAAAGGCTTCAATCCAACCACGCATTCCTGCGCCCTTGTACAGCGCTCTCTCGTAATCCATTCTCGAGGCCTTTTCGTCAAGAGGCTGCCGTGGAAAATACCGGCTGGCTCGGGGCACGACTTCGTGAGCGAAGGGCTCGTGTGCAACTCTGCAGCATACAGCTGATTGCCAACAAATATGTCGTTTGTGTCTTATTGCCAACAAATATGTTCTTTGATTTGGCGTTTGTGTCGGAGACCGGTCCCAAGGACATCATCCCGTGCATTCGAAGCCGGAAACAAAGCTCTGAGCTCTGGAAGCAGCCCATGAGCACAGACATCAACCAGCGGTGTTGAGGTCATGTTCCAGAATGTTTGCAAGACATTTGCGGCTTGTGATGTGGCTTCCAGTTTCCTTTCCAGGAAACCAGTTCCTAATCCGTGCACTTTGCGTAATGGTTCCTCCTGCACTAAATGGAAGCACTGGGAGCAAGAAGCATGTCCATTTCCGGCCAGCTTGTACAGCGACCATTTTGCTGGCCCTGTGGCTTCTGCTCAGATCGATGCGCCAGTGCCAGTGAGTCTCCAGTTGATTTGTTTGGCAGAATCCGTCGGATTATCATTTTCCTCGTTTTCGGGTTGGGTGGCTGAAACACAAGTGGAATTCTATTAGTTAATTGTCCCAGGTTTGTGCCACATTCCGACGAGTGGCTCCACCAGATTCCTTGCATTTGCGAGCGCACATTCGCCAGCTTTGATGTCCCCTTGTCCACTCACTGACAGCGCACTCATGTTCTGCCATCGAACCGTTCCCATTTTGTGTTTCCTATGTTATTGACCCAAACTAGGGCAGTCAGAGTCAGATGAGGCCTTTGGCGCATTGGCGCATGGCGGCTGTGATTTCAGAGGCATTTTCGTGGACCCCATATGTTTTGGCTCCACCCGCTGGCAGAGACCCAGAAGACTGTCGCAATAAAAGGGCGGCAGGCTGTGTGAGTGTGTGTGTGTGGGAGGGAATCCAGCAATGCCAACTTAGCAGGGCCCTGACATACTCTTTCTGGGAGCCTTGGGAGGTCAGCGGACTGTTCCCTCCGTCTCCCCGATGTTTCCATGCGAGATGCGTAGCTTCGGTGACTGCTCGCAAGCACGGGTTGCCTTGTGAGTTCAAGCAAAAACCGACGAATTCAACTTTCGGAGGCGCAGCTCGTGGTTCCGTTCTCATTCGTTCTGATCCAAACTCAGCCTGGCGATCTGGGGGTCGGCAACCGTATAAAAACCGCCCCAGGTGTCCTACAATGCTGCCGTCAGGAGCTCAGCGTCGGAGCGTCAGTTGCACGGGAATAGCCCTGGTGGGTTGTGGGAATGAAGGTTCCCACTTTTGGATAGGGAACCTCCCCGATGACCAGTCCGTTGTTCGGATAAGGCCCTCTATGTCACGATGGGCAATGCCCACAGCCCTGCCCCTCGTAGATGAATCCCATTTCAGAGGGGATTCGAACCACTTTTTGAGGAACCACCCCCTATATGACTCCAGGTTGATGAATGTGCGGTCGACAAATAGCCAACGCTTTTGATGCAAATAGTAATAGGGGTCATCGCGCTGTAGCGTTCCCATGTTAGGCACAGACCAGAGCTGCATCTCCTATCAGCCAAGCATGTTATCAGAACGAACAGTCGGCAACCTGTGCCTTTCTGATTGTGAGCTGGCAAGTTTTGAGCCACCGCCACGTAGGTTTAGATGACCCTTGTGAGCGGGATTGGGCGAACTACCTGTTTGAACATGTATCTCCATTTTGCCTGACCTGACCCTGGTTTCCCGTTTGGGGTGCGAGAGTACCACTGTTGCATCAGCTTCTTTTGGGTGCTTGAGGTCAGTGCATGTGCACGAGGAGCAGCATGGAGGCAAGCTGGATGCGAGTTGCGTATGAATTGCCTGAGCTTGATTGCCCATTCGAGCAGATTTGGGCAAGACCTTGCGATTCTGAAAGGACTCCATGTGGTTCGATTCCCAGATTGATGTATCGGATGAAATGCCCGGGTATGAGTTCTCGAATTGAGACCTTTGCTGGAAGGATACTTCGGTCCACCAGTCTTTCTGGAGGGTGGCCCCCATTGATCAAATGCGAGCCCCTGCGATTGCGTCATTCCTCACATGTGACAAAGTGCAACGCAAGGAAAGACCAATCTATCACTTCTTGGGTTTCTTCGGTTGGGACGCTGGCCGGATGGTGCAGGCATGCCCTCTACCTGCTGTGGGAGGACATGCAGACAGGCACCGGGCGAATTCTGCTAGAGACATTCCAGCTGAAATGTCTCGCAAACAAAGGGGCTCCCGGCCGAATCTCGGAGTACCGGATAGTTTGACAGACGATTCATGTTCAAACAGGGCAACTCATCAGCAGCTTCCTTTTGTTTTGCCAGTGTCGGCCAGCAAGCGCTGTCGGAGGCGTACATGGTGGCCAGATCATTGAGGAGCTCATGGCAAGCTGATTGGCAAAAGGATGTAGTATGGTAACCAGGGTGTCTATTCCTGCCGGGTTATTCATTTCGTGGTTTAAGCCACGTGAACCCAAAACCGAGAAAGGCCAGCGGAGAGGAGGTCTAGGCGCACGTTTTGCTGGTAAAATGACCAGTAGTTATTGGCTCATGATGTGTTTTCCAAATTGACGGTATGTTCACATCACAGCCTAGAATATTCCATTTGCTGGACACGAGTATCATCCAGGTGTTGCTATTTTTGGGCAAACGACTTGCGAGAGAGCGCGCGACGCTCAAAGGGCCGGCGGGTTGGATCCAGGGGACGTGATCTCCTTCAATGCTGCGATCAGCCAAGAGCTCAGAGCTTAGAGCCCAGATGTTTAATCGCGGCCTCGCAAGATAGGTTGGGCGCCCTCTGAAAGTACCTATCTACATATTTGATTCATGTATGTGTAGGTATACACATGTTTGTATGTATGTGTGCAAGTATGCATACACCATTCTTATGCATGTGTGTCTACATCACAAAGCCCCCGATTTCGGGTCCCATGAAGGTCGCCCATATTTTTTGGGTGGTGAATTCAGATAACTCGGTCACCTCGGTCAGGCAATATTGTTGCCAGTCCGTCTGAGTTTGGGCAGGGAACATTGGGAGGGCACCCAATGTTTCTAGAACACCTCTCTCGCCCCCAATTATGTTGTCCCACGTTTGGCAACACGCGGTTCATTCCAGCTGCAGTACTTTAGCCTGACTTTTGGGACCGATTTCCCATGGCAAAGCAAATAACAACCTCAGGCTACTTTCAGGGTAACTTGCTGTTCGCGGCAGGCAGATGATTCTCAACTACCCAGTCCTTGATTTAGGCAGAGGTGGTCAGGGAGGGAAGAGGCTACCTTGGATTCCCGATGATTTCGCGCACGGGGGGAATCAACAGTTTCAGTGGTCTAACAAGGCTGAATGGTGGACTATTGCTGGAATTACTGTTTTTGAACAGAACAACGGCCTTGACTTTGACGCAAGAACATGTGTAACAAATTTATGGCCAACC